TTTGGTTAATTTACAAAACATGAATGTAATAACTGCTGTTGACTTTTTAAACCCAAAATAACATATTTTAGGGTGGTGCGCTAACTCACTTTTGGAAATGTAAGTAAAAATGCTCCCTTATATTAATCTTATTGTTTTGAAGAATGGAAAATATCACCAGAATCCTATAAAAATCCAGCTTCCTTACAATATCGGGTTGTTTTTCATTATTTTTGTGTACTACACAAGGTATTCCAGAGGACCACACAAATAGCTACCATAATTTTTATGTATAAAGGCATTAATTCATTTATATTACATAATTGTATTTTTCTGTGTAACCCTATGTTGAGCAATATTCTTCGTGTATTGCTAATCACACTGCAATTAGTACAAGAAAAATACATCTTAGGGTTGAAAAAACAGAATTTCTGTTTGCACAGTGCATTTTCTTAAGGTCCCTGTATGAACATTAAAAATCTAGAAAAATCGACATAGGGGAAGTGGGTTTTTTTCAAAATGGCCGCCAAAATGGCTAATTTTAACAAAAAATTTTTACCTCACATATTCTGATTCCCCATACATAAAAAACTGGTCTAGAAAAACCATATGATAATTTCTACCTCTCCAAGTGGCACCTATCTCAATTATAGCCTGGCCTACTTGTTCTATTTATACTCTTTGATATTAATTTTAATAATGAACACAAACAATTACAATAAAAATGGTTCATAAATTGAACTGAAAAGGAAACTATACATGCGAAAAACACATTTTTCAAATTTTAATGCATTTTCAGGAAGCTTGGGTAATTTTGGGCAATTTTTGCTGAATCTTGGGTAATTTCGACCCAGTCATTGGGTAGGCCTATATCAAAAATTAATAATTGTGAGTGGTCACGCTGCCCATATATATTTGCTTGTGAGGCTGGTGTTAGTCATCTCTAGGCTATACAAATTACAAGTCATCAAACATGGCAGAAAGAAGGGTTTCAGTATTATAGATCCCCCTCCCACTCGCAGCGCCAATATTTTAAAATAGCCAACGTGTCGGTACTTACCAGTAAAGCGGTATTAATTTCCCGCGTGGGCTATGAGATACAACGTTTTCCCGAGCACTTCCCAGGGTCGGCACAAGGTTCTTTAGAGGCCAGTTGATCGCACCGGTCTGCAGATGGGCTAACCCGGAGAATCAACAACACGTAGGCCACAGGCTGTAAATTCTTTCTTTTCATCCCGTTCCCGCGAAATGGGTTTGGGTGAAAAGACGTATATAGGATGATAATTTTATGGTTAACAACATACAAAAAGTTCTTCATGATCGTACCCCTCGATTTTGAGAAAATATCGAATATTTTTGGTACTCATTTGTTTAATACACTGGGCCGTTGTGGTGTGCGAAATCTATCCGCAGAGTAAAAAAAAACGTATCACGTGATCACATTCCACCAATCATCTGGTCGTTCACCGTTCGGGGGCATCCCAAACAAACAAAATTTATCAACGATTTACAGGTGGCCTAATAGTGTGCTTAAATGTATGCTTCAACTTGAATGAACTTTAATATTTTAAAATATAAATTTCTTATTAGTTGTGTAGATACTTTTGCAAAATGTCCTGATATTGATTTTTATAATCATGTTTTTGATTTTGATAATTTAATGTGTAATTCTTTCTCTGTCAATTTGTAGAACGGGATCAGAGTGCTCAAATAAATTATTGCAAAAACCTTCATTAATTAATTATTCAAGACTTCAAGTTTCTCCTAAATTACAAAAATATTTGTTGGACAAAAATTTTCTTGGGGCAAGCCTAAAATTTAAATTAAGATCTAATACACTACCCCTTGATTGTAAAACGTGTACATGGTCAAATGATGTTTCAGGCATTTGCACCCTATGTGAAAGTGGAGAAATTGAAGATTGTCCCGCTAATAATATCATTAGAAAACAACATTTAACAAATCTTGAAAATGACCTTCTACTCTGTAACGATTATGATACATGGACACTTTTTTCAACAACAAATGACGATATTAAACTTCAATATGTTTTAGGAGGAGATTTAGTTTTTATTTGTGATAAAAAGTGGACTCTACATCGTTGTCTGTATTCCTTAAGTTTAGTGGTCTACCTTGGTATTATCTTTTTGTTGTAAGACTTTTTCATCTTTAGATTTTATATTTTTAGGTTAGTTATTTTAAGCATTTACTTTACAGTTGACCTGTAAATTATTTCTGAGTATGAAATGCGATGCGAAATGTGATCTCATCTAATTTCATATGTTATTTTTCTACGTTTCTTTAATTTGTAATATTATATACAGTCGATGTTATTTATTTTGTTTGTTAAATTTTACCTTTTTTTTTGTTTTTACGAACGCACCAATTGATATTGAGTGCCACCGATTTGTAATATTATATACAGTCGATTGTTATTTATTTTGTTTGTTAAATTTTACCCTTTTTTGTTTGTTTGTACGAACGCACCAATTGATATTGAGTGCCACCGATTCAAAGGTGTATGTTCAAATAAATAAATAAATAATGTGTTGAAGTGTGCTCTTATATCATGGAGGTATTATTGAGGAGATCACTCGGCAACAGATCCCTTTGACACGACAAACCAATGTGTGTTCCCCGCCTTTGGATCGTGCGCGGGCGTATTACCCTATAATTCACATTTTTTCGTTAGCAACAACTTGGCAACGACGCTTCCAGCTGAGCAGTTGTGCAATAAAGCGTTTGATTTTAACCCATTAAATATTTTTATAATGAACAATGTTCCCCTGATTAGATGTTTTCGGACTTTTAGTATGTTATTATTTGTATATTTCAGGAACGGATTCCGTAAAATATTTATGTTAAAATTACTTCTGTGTTCATTATAATTCTGTCTAAAGATTGATTGGTTCGACTATAAAGCTAAGTCAGCGTAAAACTCAGATTTTGGATTAATTTTTCGAATAGTTAACCCTAAAATGACTTAGTTTATTATAATCCTCAATCATTTATTAATTAATACTGTACTGTTAAAATTAGAATTAGCGAATTTTGACCAATTTATGAAAATTTAAGTTGAAATATACTATACTTTTAAAGGTCATGTAAATGTTCCATTAAATTCGAAACTTTTTTTGGTGGATAATATTAATATCTTTAATATTTTATGAGAGATAAATGTATCAGCTTCAAAATGGAAATGATTGAGCAGCCATAGTGATTGACTGTATGTAGTGCGCATCGAGAAAAGAAGGTGCTCTCCATTTCGGCATGTTCAATTTTTTGGTAAACTATACCTGCTGAAAATTTGATGGCAGGGTACACATCGGACAGTAAGGGCATTGCGCAAACGTTCTTCACGCGCTGCAGCAGCTTTGATCTTGGTTCATTTGCATAGCGCTGGGTGCACGTAGCCTTCTCAATAATACCACCATGGTTATATCATGGAGGTATTATTAGCCTGGTTCTCACGTGAGCCCCAGTATCCGGATCGGGAGCTAAACGAATTAGCGCTAACCGTTAGCAGTATCCGGATACCGCAAGTGCTATCGGTTAGCAAGTGCTATCGGTTAGCAAGTTGAGCGCGTTAAAAATTTTTTTAAATGTTTGTTTTGGTCCGTGGCTCCTGTTACAACGTTGGCACCGCCACTGCTATCTTATCTAATCTAAGCCTAACCCTAACAAGTGCCCGCACGATACGAGTAATTAGCACCTTACACAAGGTATTTACGTGAATATTAATATATCGTACGTGAATATATATAGTATCTTCGGCAGATAGTAGGTCGGAGATATGTAAACAGATATAATAGCCAACACATCCCTGTATATGACACCACATTTATTTCACTGACAAAATTTGAATCTCATTTCTCAAATCCAAATATTTTGAATTAAGATAAGATATTACCATGCAATAATTCTTTTTTTTTTTTAAAGAGAGAAAAGCAAAGAAATGAATTATAATATATGGTGATAATTAATATGTAAAATTATACACATACTGTATGCCATTCAATCTTAAGAAAAGTATACGATGGATTATCCACAAAAATGTAATTTTTATAGATTCATATAATGAATCTATGCAGTTTACACAGCTCTACCAATCTACAATTTTATGTTTATTTATCAAACTTTATGACTATAATCAAACTGTGATATTCTACTATAACTCTAATAATTCAACAATTCTTGGCAATAAGAAAGAACAAAATCGATATTAACATTATAATTATTGATATTATTGAAGAAATCTGTGCCAATTTCAATGGACTGTTAACAGTCAAAAAAATCTATGTTGCAATACATTGTTTATCAATCTTATTTTTAGACATTATAAGCAACATTTTTAAACTTCAATCAAAAAATGTGAATTCATGCCATTATTACAGGACTATACCATCTTTTCATGTCAACAATTTTACACATTGAAAGAAAGCAACATTCTATATAAACCACCACTGATACCATTGATATTCTTTAAACTAATTATTCAATTATTAATTATAATTATCAATTAATAATTATTAATTATTATTATTATTATTATTAATTAATTAATTATTAGTATGTTTATTTTCACAACACATTGCAATTATTTTAATACAATTCTGATAATAGTAGCTATGTTTAGATTATACAAATAAATTCAATGCTTAATACTATGAACGATTTTTAGTGTTTCTTTTCACAGTTAACATGATGTTTTTTCTTTGATAAGCATGCAAATTACTCAAGCACGTATTTTTTTTTATAGCATCACGATAATTTAAGCTGACAGTCCTGAACACAGGATTGCTACACCTCGCTCGTAGAAGCTGTGTTCTTGGCCATCTACTGCAGCGCCCTCGCCTGCTGTGTTCATAGTGAGCTTTGAATTGAATCATTCTCATTAACAGTATCATTATCATCATCAACTGAATCATCATCATCAATACCATCTCTATCATTCTTGACATTACTTGCTACTGTGCCAACTTTTGATTTAATTTACCTTAAGTTCCTTAGCTCCACCTTGAGCAGTTGCCGTTGAGATTCGCTGCAGCTGTTTGATTCTCTCGCTGAAGTCACCAACCCACTGAATGACGGTCAAGCCGACTGGTGCTTTGTACTTGTTCCAGTTTGTAGGTATGATACCTTTAGCCAAGTCAGATATAAGAGCCCTATCATGATTGGTCTGTTTCTTCTTACCCTGACAGACTTGTGCTACATTCTCCAAATCAGCTCGTACGGTCTTCAACAGTCTGGATCCTAGGTTAACCTGAAACAGGTAATTAAAATCAAATGACAAACATTGATGTTATATGTACTACCTATCTCTTATACACATCTAGATGTGTATAAGAGACAGTTTGACCCTTGTCTGCTACTGTGACCTTTATAGAAAAGAAGACCAAATTTAAATCACTGTCAACTACTGTTATATAATATTTGTTAAGGAAGTAGACAAATTCAACTTGTCCTAGTGTAATGAAATCGTGGATAGGCCTCTGGTACAAAAGTAAAAATCCCCTGCTTGTTTTTCAAATGAGCATACCTAATCCAAGGACTTTTTTCAAGGAAAACACTTTGACATAATACAACCAGGAACAAAAAGATTTTGATGGTTGAGTACACAATATGGTTACCATTAGGTTTTAACCAATATAGATGCAGTGTCGGTATAAATAATGTTCTGAAGAGTTTGGAATGGACCTCATGGTCTTACGATCTGTTCTCATGACCACAAATAGCTCCACTTGCTAAGACTCATAAAGCAGTGGCAGATCCAGTAATTGAGCCCAGGAAAGGACTTTCACAGAAGAATAGAGCATACTTCCCATCCTGTAGGTGGCTCGAGAAAATAAAGGATTGAGAAAACTTACCTCCATTTGGAGTTCTTCCAATGACCAGCTGTTAGCTTGAGCAACGAACTGCCTGGTTGCTGTAATGTATGCCTCTGGGATAAACATTCCACCTAGCCATACTTGCAAATTCTGGTGAAAAAAAACGAGTAGATTGCTTATAAGTTTCATGCATCATTATCAAAATTATTATCATCATCTTTAAGAACTGATCATTACCATCAACATGGTAATGGTAAGAGACTTACATAGCACATAATACAGTCTATATAGCGAAAACAAAAACACTATTATAGTAGGTAACCTAAACTAACGATGCAAAAATACCTTTACCGTCATCATTAACAGTATCATCACTAACAATATCAGCATCATCATCATTTATTTTCTCTTTTCATGGAGTCATGATGAGACAAGTTTTTAATCATGATCCCAATGATAAAACTTTATTTTTATTTTACATATTTTTCCCATTTTCATTTTTGTATTGAATATCATTATTGTATTGTTTACCATCACTGAATGAATGTCATTTGAATTGAATCATTCTCATTAACAGTATCATTATCATCATCAACTGAATCATCATCATCAATACCATCTCTATCATTCTTGACATTACTTGCTACTGTGCCAACTTTTGATTTAATTTACCTTAAGTTCCTTAGCTCCACCTTGAGCAGTTGCCGTTGAGATTCGCTGCAGCTGTTTGATTCTCTCGCTGAAGTCACCAACCCACTGAATGACGGTCAAGCCGACTGGTGCTTTGTACTTGTTCCAGTTTGTAGGTATGATACCTTTAGCCAAGTCAGATATAAGAGCCCTATCATGATTGGTCTGTTTCTTCTTACCCTGACAGACTTGTGCTACATTCTCCAAATCAGCTCGTACGGTCTTCAACAGTCTGGATCCTAGGTTAACCTGAAACAGGTAATTAAAATCAAATGACAAACATTGATGTTATATGTACTACTATTAACAATTACAAAAATATTAAAAACTAAGCACCATAAATGGTGTTGAAATGTTCTTCCAAGTTTTATTTCAATACAGTATAGCAAGGAAAATAAGAGGGTTTTACTTACCTCTCTCTCAAAAAATCGGAAAAGAGGATCCTTAATGTTGTCTGCTGTTCTCTTCAGCAATGGCAAAGACTGGAAAAATTAAACAAATATTAATAACACAAATGATAAAAGCATAATAAGCATAGGGTTATAAAGACAAAATAAAGATTGAATCTGAAACACTGACACTGAACAGGTAATCTGTTTGTGTCTCATCTTAACTAAAATGTTAGTAATTAATTTTTCGAGAAAAACATATTGTCCTTATCAGAATTCAAACCCATGACCTTCCGATTAGCATTTGGATACTCTACCAACTGAGCTATGAGGCCAAGTGGTATAGACCGTTGGATTTTTCCATTAGGACACACATTTTCTTAAGGTATTGCCATAATACAATGAAAATTTATAAAGCACATCTTGACAATATGGGGAAGAAAATAAACAAAAACAAAATTTCTTAGCATACTTTTGGTACAACACTCTGCCAATGGCCAACTGATGTATTGAGTGTTCTCATCCAAGATGGCCGACCATCTGATGTGTGCCTCTCTCTGAATTCAACAGACGCAGCAGATATGTCTTCCTCATCCTCCAACAGACTCATCTTCAGCAACTTAGAGATCATGTTACTTCCTATAATATCAAAGAAAATGATTTAAGCTCTAAAATAAAGTATTAAAAAACAATAAAAACATAAAAATCCAGACCATTCTTAAAATGCTATGACCATATGTAGGCATGTCACATGTTTTTGTCAAACAGAATTTGATAGCCTGGACAAGGCTTGAGTACCATTGTTGGTCTGTAGTAGTTTATTTGACACTACAAAACAGAAGCAAATGGAGTAAACATGATATAAAAAATAGACCATTTTCACGTAATCTAAAATCAAAATTTTCGATAACCTGCCAACTACTACTGGGAGACTTTCAGGGGCCTAGCATTTCGCCATCATGGATCAGATCAATGATAAAACTAAATTACTAATGAGCACAAATATTTTAAAATGCAAACAACACAAAATGGTTATATTAAAAACAAGTCTAGGTCTTAAAAAGCTATTTCAATGTTTAAATAGGTGCCTATGCAAGATCATAATTAATATTAAATTATTACTATTATTATTATTATCACTTTTATTATTATTAATTCCTTGATGGTTATTCTACATTTTATGATGACATTTTATAACCTTACCCAAGGTTGTGAGAAGCACTTTCTCAGCATTGTTAGGAAGGCCTAGCCACGATGGAGTCTGGTTCTCTGGTAGCGACTCTGTCCACTGCAAAAACTGTTCACGTCTGATATAAGCAAACACAAAAAACCTCTTAATGAGTCTCAGTTTATGTAGAGCATTTTGTGTGTATGATTCATTTGTGATTGTGAATGTAGGACAAAAACGATCTTGGACAATAACCACCTGAACAAAAACCACCCAAAATGCAATATACCATTGTTAAAGTAGGGTGGGCAGTGGGGTGCACAATATTGGGTGGGCTTGTTTTTATCTAGCTTTATAATAGGATAGTTTACATTGTGACACTTGTATGTAGGTTAATAATCACTGTAGATTTCAGCAATCACTTGCCACTTAAAAAAAGTTAGCTATTTGGAATATCCTTGGCCTTGAGCCCAATCAAAAAAAAAAAAAAATAATCATAACTACTTCACAGTTAGTTGCAGTATTAAATGCATCCCTTTAAAATGAGAGTAAGCTGCTTGACCTTATTCCGTCTGGCATTGATAAGCTTTTCCCATCGCCTTGATCAAATTCCTTGATCAATTGGAAGTCGGCATCAAAGCTCTTCACAGTAAACAACTTGTTGACAAAGGCTGTCAACAAACGCTACATTAAAAATTAAAAAAATCATCGTTACATTTTAA